TTTGAGGGGATGTTTGAACTCTAAGTTCGATTTTTCTATGCATTGAATGATCTATTTTTTTCGTTGATTAATCTAGACGCCGTATTTATTTTTGTTGATGAGTTGATTCATGTTATTTGAATTTAATGTTTATGAATGATGGGTGTTTGATTTAATTTGACCAGCTACATTAAATATTCATAGTTAAATTGCTAGATTCGAGGCTTTATTCCACAATTGTTATTGTCGCATTTAGTTAGTTGTAAACTAGGGATCGTGCATCTCTAGGGTAGCGTGAACATAAGTTAATTGGTCCGAGTTTTTGCGTCCATTGCTTAAACTGATCTATTTTCCTAGAGACTAATGATGCTACTGAATTAAATATAGAGAGCTTATTCTAGGTTGTCCACTAGTTAAGTTTAGTCGAATAGCTTACTTCAATTAAATATTCGGTAAGGGAAAAATCTGTTAACATAGTTTGTTGTTAGCTAGGGTCGGTAATCCATTAGCAATTTAAAGAAATGGTCAAAACTAATTAACGATAGATTTAGATTGAGTGATAACTAAAACGAAAACTGAACTTCTCTTATTTTATTTATATTTTATTATTTTTATTTTTATCAATTCAATCTCCCCCTTTTACTGTTTTCTTAGTTTTAGTTCGATTAATACGAAAATTGTCACGACTTGATTCCTGCTCCTCGTGGGATTGACATTTGCTCGCCTCTACTATTAGTTAGTAGATATTAGTTGAGGAATTTTTATAAATTTAAATACGCGCGGTCAATGATATCACTAAATTTTGAGTTTTACAAAAAAAAAAAAAAAAATGACCGGTGAAAAGTGATTGAAAATTGAATTGAAAACCTTGTCCACGCACCCTCTGAAAATCTCACACATGTAACATAATATGTGGTATATTTTCACACAAATGCTAGAATACATACATATATATTTAGTTATGGCCGTTGAAATGTAAGATAATTTGATTCTTTCATGGGTTCGCCACATGTCCCTAGTTTAGGTTAGATTCTGTTTAAATTAAACTACACACCACTTAGGTTGATCTTGGGAAAGCATCAACTGCAAGCTCTACAGCTTTTTCTCATCAAATATTTGAACATGGGTTGTGTTTGGAGATCATATTATGCAGTCTGT